AAAAAAAAAACAGTATTCAAAATTCAATGTTTTTTTAAATATCTAGAATACGCAATATATATACATACATACATACATATATATATATATATATATATATATATATATATATATATATATATATGCCCAGTAGTAGCGGGGGGGGTAAGGAGATAGATGGACCATGAGCTCCACAGCCGAGGAGTAACTCTACAAAAAACAAGGGGGGAGTAACCCTTATTGTAGTAGTGGGCTCCCTCAGCACACACCTTGGATAGTTCAATCTCTTCTTGTGTGGCCACCGCCCAAATTCCGTCGGAGACACCGATGGCTTTAGGCAGGATTACCCTGGGGCTAATACCTCTACCTGACAATGATCCCTAATTCCCTTCTTATTTTTCTGAAATAATTCTAGTACGCACAGATCGTGGCTACCTGTCACATAAATTGTACTCACAGACCCACAGGTACCTAAGGCGTCATTCTTGCCTTTTTCTGCTTCTCCCTGTGTCAATAGCATAAACTTCGTTCTGGCCAGATTTAGGGCGACAAATTACGTCTCTACTTCGTACCTTGCCACTGCTCTTATCTCCGGCTCTAGCTTTGGATAGGGAAGGGAGAGATTCATCACCTGGTAAATTTCAAAGGTGCTATCTCTGTCCAGTAATGGCACCAGCACGAGCACTAGCAATTTATCATCTTCTAGCAAGGTAGCACATCCCAAGGCACTATAATACTTCCATAACTTCCGAGTGGGGTCTACCGGTAATCGAAGATGATGGCGTAGCTTGGCTTGTATCTCCAGCAGTGCCTCCCTCAATCGTTCCGGAGTTATTATACTCGGCGACAGGTGTCCCAGCGACAGCATGTCTAACTGTGCCCTCACATGCTCCAACAACACCGTTAAAGAATTACTTGTTTGACGTACCTTACTCATTATAGCTAACAACTGAAAATACCTTTGCAAAAACCCTTCTAATTGCTGTAATTCGGTTGTTATAGACGTGGTTATATTTATTACTTCTTTTCTAAAAACCTGTAGGTGATAAATCAACCAATTGATACTCCCTCTATTCTTAGCCAATTCCAGCCTAGTAACATTGAGTATAGATACGCTCTCTTTAACCGACTGAGCTTGTTGCCTCTGCTCTACCACTTTTAATTTCCTCTTAATTACCCTCACTTCGTCTTCGGAGACTGTATCAAACAACATGCTCAATGCCTTTCCCATTATAGGTAATACTGCACTCCTCTGCCTGGTCCGTAACAACTTTATTCCCTTCAAATAGTAACTAATATCCTTCCATTGTCTCTCAAGTATTAGGGATTCCTGAGCTAAGGGGTATAATATACGGTGGTATTCCGGAGTCTGTAAATAGTCTCCGGCGACTTGTGTCCTGGCTGTATCTAGTTTGTCCACTTCGATCTTTAACTGGCCCAGTAACTTCTCATACGGCTGCAGGTCTATCACCAAAGTTATCAACCACTTTGATCTAGTTATAATCACTTCGCTAGTCTTCTTAAATGCAGTATTCTCACTGTGTTCCCAGGTATAAACTACCAGAACCAACATCATCAGTACCGCGAGCCTCCTCTCGTCCATGTCTGCAATAATATGGAGAGAATAATTCGCTTTACTCAATCATTCTTGTTTTGGTTTCGAATGGGTGGTTATATCTTAGAGCAACATATTAAGCACTGACCCGCACCATCACCAGTGCCGTGCATGCATGGGAGCCCTTCCACGCAACACACAACACCGAGGATAATTGCCTTGTCAGACCCGGACCGTTACTCATTTAGCACAACCATTGTACTGATTCCACTTACTCTTTGGGCTCGGGATGCACCGCCCCCCTTAATCGCAATTTCAGTGGTAATTCCTCATTAACACCAGGCGCTTCTTCGAGCCGCAATTTACTCTGCAATTGTGCTTACGGAATTTCATCCTCTTCTTCCCATTCAATCAGTTCCTCTTCTTCCTTAAGGTTAGGGTCATTTTCTGCCTCCTCAGAAGGTCCCACTGGGGTCCGCTTTACCTCCCTCAGCCTTCGAAGGGTAGTTGGGCTAACTTCAATCTCTTCACTCCCTTCGCTTTCACTCCCCGTCTACAACTCTTCGGGTTCTACTAACGTAGTTCTCCTCAGCCTTTTCTCTTTAGTTCTTGTTTCGGCTCCTTCCAATTCCCCTATTTCCGCTAGTTTTATATCATATCGCATGCACCCTCTTTACCTTCCCGGTTAATTGGCCCCATATCACAAAGGAAAACGGACCCGTCTGCTCTACTATTCTATAATATGGGCTCCATCTCTGGCCCAATTTACCTTCTCTCAGGTGTATTTTATAAGACACTGGGTCCCCGATCTGGAAGGAGACTTCGGCTCTGCCCTTGTTTATTCTATCGTTTCGTCCCTTCTGGGCTCTTCGAATCCTTCTCCTCACCTGCGTAAACATTTTGTGCTGTTGTGCTAGAACCATACGGTGATGATCCTCCCCTAAATACTTCCTCCTAGATCGCAATAGATTGTCTATAGGTAAGACTACAAACCTGCCGTATACCAAGTAGTTAAGGGAAAATTTTGTCGCTAACACATCAGCGAGGGTCTTATGAAATCTCTCCACCTTCGCATTACTTTGGGGATGATATGGGGAGGGGGTTACATGCTGTATGTTCCATTCCCTCAACGTCTCCCTCATAATCTGATTTACATTCTCCGATCCATTATCGGAAACCAACTGTTCGGGGGCCCCATATCTGGGGAATATTTTGTTCAGTATTATATCTGACACTGTTTGCGCTTTTTTATCCGGTATGGCGAATGCCTCAGGCCAATTCGTTAGCCAGTCCACAAAACTCACTATGTAAAGATTACCTCTAAAAGTTTCTCCATAGGGCCCGGAAATGTCCATGCTTACCTTCTGAAATGGGTAATTCGGGACATCCGTTTTTAATACGGGGGCCTCCCTACTCCTTCAACGCTGTACTTGGCATGTTACGCATTTTTCTACATGGTTCCAACATCCTTAAACAACTTAGGCCAATAATAATTCCTCATTATTAATCCATATGTCTTATCAATTCCCTTGTGTCCCAAATTCCTATGACACTGGTCTAGGACTTCGGCTCTCAACTTCTCAGGTATCACTATTTTTGGACTTACTTCCTCATCTCTTCCTGAAAGGTAATATAATACCCCATCGTGCACCATATATTTGGAGGTACCCCCTGCCTCTACCTTGGATCTGATAGCTGCTATCTCTCTATCCTCTTGGTTTTACCTAATAATGTCTCTCCAGTGGGGGTCGGAAATAATCTCCGTCTCCCTCGTTTCCTGATCCTCCCAACCAAGTCCTTCCCTCGGTGCCTGTGAATTGATCACATTAATTTGGAATGCCTTATCATCCACACCCGGCTCTAACTTGACAGATTCCGTCTCTAGTTGCTTCGGAATCCTTGATAACAGGTCAGCACAGGTATTATCCTTTCCTGTCAAGTATTCTATCTTGCAGTTATATCCACTTAGTTTCATCGCCCATTGCTCTATCTTTTTATTCGTCCACTCCGCCTCTAATAAATATTTGAGGGGTTTGTGGTCTGTTTTAATGGTAAACACTGCCCCACTCAATTTCCTCCTGTGATGTTCAGGAGCGTTTATATCCTCCTTCCTTATTCCCAGGCCTATTCTCATTCCATACTCTCACCTGCTCAACTTCTCTCACTGGGTACGCCTGTGCCAGCTCCTATCCCTGCTTTATTTTAATAGTTTTATTGGCAGCATTAGTTAATAGTAAGGGAACAGTCCTCGACCCCTTTACTAACGAATCACATACGGTTATCTCCTTTTCACTATCATCGTACCTATCAGTAGGGACCACTTGGTACAGGTCACTGCTCAGCACTCCTTCTGTTACCATGTTGCCCTTTCCCGACACAGTAGTCCTAGGAGGGAAGCATTATATCCGTCTGGGCCACCACTGGCAATTGTTCATAATTATCCTCCCCCAACGATATCCCTACTCCGTCCAATGTTAGGGTGGCGGGGTCAAAACTGATCCGTGCCTTATTCTGCCTAAGCCAGTCGCCTCCTAGAATTAGATCACCACACAAGACTGGTGCCACATAAACCTTAAGTTTACCTCTGATTCTTGTCAACTGGAAAGTTAGCCACGTCATACCCTCTATCCTCATCCTACTATCAGCTTGACTTATTAGTAGATCGACAGGACTAAGCTTCGTCTTCAGTCCCGTCTAAAAACCTTGGAGTTAACTAGCGACACTGAAGCCCCCATATCGACAAGGGCTTTCACCTTCTTGTCTCCAAGCAACACATTACAGGTGAAGTCTGGTCATTCCTTCAGCAAACGGTACACCTGTGCCTTTCTCCTTCCCGCATGTCCTCTCCCTTTCTTCCGTTTGCTCGACAACCGAGACATGGAGGCCGGCAACAGGAGTTCAACTTTTTCTAGTGGCTCCCATTTCTGTCTAGGGGCCCTCCTGGGTGGGGTAGAGCTCGGACGACTCTCTTTTCTTGGACTAGCCATCCATTTCTCCCCTCTATTCGAGTTAGGGTTGTTTCGTTCGGTGTGGTCCATCTTTCTCCTGCGAGGACAGGTTTGTCTCAGGTGACTCGCTCCACCACATCACCAACACCTTCGCTCCTTACAACTTGCCGAAAAGTGCCAGACCACACCACATGTCCAGCATCTCAGAGGTCTTACTTGCACTGGGGCCATCCTGCCTCTTACTTTTTCACGGGTGACCCATCGGCATTTCCCGGACCTTTTTCCTTCTCGGTAGGGGGTACCAGCGTATTAACTCGCTTTATCCTCCTCATCCGTCCAAGAATGGTCCTGTTCGTACGTCCATGAAAAGACCTCCTTATCCGAACGGTCTTCCTTATCAATGGTCTTCCTTATCAATTCTTAAATGATCTTCTTTATCCCATTTGTGAATGGGCCTCATGATCCGTCCGTGAATTATCTACTTTATCCGATCATGAATGGACATCCATATCTGTCCCTTAATGGTACTCCTTATCCTTACGTGAATGATCTTCCTTATCCGTCTGTGAATGGTCCGATTTATCCATCGGTGAATAGTCTTCCTTATCCGCCCGTGAATGCTCTTTCATATCAGACCATGAATGAACCTCCTTATAAGTCCGTGAATGGTCCTCCTTATCCGTGGATGAATGGAACTTCTTAACCGTCCATGAAAGATCATCCTTATGCGACGTGTATGATCTCCCACATCCGTCCTCCTTATCCATCCGTAAATGATCTTCCGTATTCGCCCATGAACAGACCTCCTTATACGTCCTTGAATGATCATGCTTATCCGTCCGTGTATGGTCTTCCTGATCAGTTCGTGAATGGTCCTCCTTATCCGCCCATGAATGGTCTTCCTTAACCGCCAGTGAATAATCATCCTTATCCGAGCGTGAATGGTCCTCGTTATCCGTCTGTTAATGGTCCTCGTTATCCGCCCGTGAATGCTTCTCCTTATCCCCCGGTGAATAGTCTTCTTTATCCGCCCGTGAATGATCATCCTTATGCGTCGTGAATGATCTCCTTATACGTCCATGAATGTTCTCTCTTATCCATCCATTTATGGTCTTCCTTATCCATCCATGAATGATCTTCCTCATCAGACAATGAATAGACCCCTTGAACGTCCGTGAATTGTCCTCCTTATGCGTTTCTAAATGGCCCTCCTCATCTGTCCATAAAAGGTCCTCCTTATTCCTCCATGAATGGTCCTCCTTATCCGTCTGTGTATGGTCCTCTTTATCCGTTCATAAATGGTCTTCCTTATCCGTGCGTACATGATCTTCCTTATCCGTCTGTGAATGGTCATCCATTTCCGTTCATGAATGGTTTTCCTTATCCATCCGTGAATGGTCTTCCTTATCCTTCCATAAATTGTCCTCCTCAACTGTTGTGAATGAATGGTCCTCCTTATGCGCCCGTGAATAGCCCGCCTTTTCAGTCCGTGAATGAACCTCCTTATATACCTGTGAATGGTCCTCCTTATCAGTCCGTCAATGATCTTCCTTATCCGTATGTGAATCGTCCCGCTTATCCTTCCATGAATTCTCCTCCTTATCCGTCCATAAATGGTCCTCTTTATCCGTCCGTGAATGGTTCTCCAAATTGGTGTTGCTTTTTTTCGAAATTTTAGTCTGCGTTGTATCTTGTAAAATGCATCTTTTTCTCTGTAATTGTGAATTTTTTGTCAAAATGCATCAGTTAATCAAATTTAAAGTAAATGTCAGCATAAAATCTTTATTAAGGAAATATTTTGGAATTGTCGAAACATTTGTATTTCACACACACACACGTGTGTGTATGTGTGTTAACCATGTTATTTAATTAATAATCTATGTCTGAAAATAAATGGCAGATATGCGTCGATATTCGCCTCTCTTTCCGTGACCGACACAAGAAGGAAAGAGTCACGGTTAAAAATGTTCGCATTGCTGACATATTGGCTTGAAAATTGTAACCATCTCCGTTGCTGGAATGAAGCACACAGTAAGTAAAATAAGTGACGCCTGAAAACATGAAGAATGGAAAAAGAAATACAATAAAGAGTTAGATTAAAAGAAGGAGAAATCCGAAAAGGAGAAAGACAAGAAAAGGGAAAAACGAAAGAGGAGATTAGGAGGAGTAGGTAGAGGAAAATGGAGGTAGAAGAAAAGGATATGAAACTGAAAAACAAGAGATGCATGGGAAAGAGGAAGACGTTACGAAACTGATATGGATAGAAAGTAAGTGTCAAATCAGAAGAATCAATACAGAGAGGGCGTAAATTAATGGCCATCATTTAAAAAAAAAAAAAATCAGCTTTATCTGAAAAAGGAGGCGTTACAGGAAGAAGGAGGAGGAAGAGGAGGCAAAGACTAAGAGAAAAAAAAGAAGATAAGAAGCCTAGAGAGAAAATGTTGTTGGAGATAAAGCGGAAATTGGAAAAGGTAAAAGTAAAGAGGCAAACGACAAAGAAAAGGCAGAAAAGATGGGAGAAGAAAAGAGAGAAGAAGAGTGAAGAAGAAATATGTTAAAGGGGTTGGAGAGGAGGATGCAAAAAATCAGGCGAGGACACAAAAATGAAGCGACGATTATGATGAAAGAAGTAAGAAAGTAGAAAAAAAATGACGAATGAGAAGGAGACGATGAAAAGAAGAAATAACCATTGTAGAAAGAGATTAGGAGAGGAGAGTGAAAAAGGATGAAAGAAGAATAAGAAGTGGAAGAGAAACGAAGAGAAGGAAAGGAAGAAGTCGATTAAAAAGGAAACATGAGGTTAACAATTATAAAATACCACAAGAAATGGTGGAAAGTCAAGAAGTATCATTCTCGCGCATGCCCGCACGTTTAATCTTAAGTACTGTTATTGTTGATGTAAGTGTGCGCATGCGTTTTGCATGCATTTGCTTGCTTGTGTCTCTTGTGTGTCCGTTCGTGTGTATGTGTGCTCGAGTAACTTGCATATAAGACGAGTAGCTGCCATTTCGAGCGCAAATACAGACAACATCGACGAAAACAAACAATCTCAGAAGCCAAGACGTGATTCTATTTTGCCCCGGTTTCGCTTTGGCTTCACCAGGTTTTTGCGCTTTCTTCTTCCGCTTCCGGTTTTTTGTCCTCCCTTTTCCTTCCTTTCTCCCTGTACCCCTCACTCTCTTCTTCTTTCTTTATCTCAGCATTTTTTTTTTACTTTTATCCTCGCGATTTCTTTGAATCTCTCATTCACTAAACCAGCGTCTTCTATTTTTGTTGCCTCGATACAATACATCTAGCCACACCATTTTCTATCACGCTTTCTTTCATATTGTTTATTTTTGTCCTTTTTTTTATGTTTTTATACTTTTATTTTTGAGACGCTTTTTTTATTTACCATAAGTTTTTTTCTATATCCATTTTTATATTACTTCTTTTCTCTTTCTTTCTTTCATTCTTTCGTCTTAATTTTATTTTTCTTCCATTTATCCTCTACTTAGAATTGATAGACAAACGTATTGAAAAGAGATGCACAAACATATATGCGTATCGCACACACACACACATTCTCTCTCTCTCTCACACACACATATATGCACGTATGTATGCATGTGTATGTGTGTGTGTGTGTACTGTATGTCTATGTGTGCGTGTAGACAAAATGATAAAGGTGGGGGTGGAAGAGATACAAATTAAGATAACTAATGTGAAAGTTAAATCTAAAGAGTAAATGAAATTGAAAACATAGAGTAAATGTTCGCAAATTACTTTTGATAAAATCGATGATATAGAGAGTTCGATTCTCACTAGATACCCAGTTATTGTGGCCTTGTGCCAAAATATATATATAAAAAATCTACTAAATAACAGTAGACAGAGGAAGTGTGTGCGTGTATGTTTGTTTCTGTGTAAGAAATACAGGGAGACAATAATGAAAGAGAGAGAAAGAGAGAATGAGTTAGTGAGGAAGAGAGAGAGAGCAAAAAACATGTAGCATTATTTTTAAGCTTGGCTTGCAGGTCATCGTTAGGCTACCGGGTTCGATTCTTACAAATTGTGGATGAATTCACCTTTCAACACATTGTTACTATATCGACTTCGATCATCACCGTGTGTTCGAATACATGACCTTATGCCAGACTAGGTTAAGTGCAGATTTGGCATAACTGTTAGCAGCGAGAAAACCGTAATCGGCGAACCTGGTTCAAATATAAGTCGAGGCACTGCTTCACACACACACACACACACACACACACACACACACACACACACACATATATATATATATATATATATATATATATATGTGTGTGTATGTATGTATATATGTGTGTGTCTGTGTGTGTGTGAATGAATCCGATAAATAAGTAGACAAAAATGGTCAAAATTATATACACTGCATATATTTTGGCAGCATGTTTTCATTGTGACATATTTCATTGAATAATTTAGACCATTTTTGTCTACTTATATATATATATATATATATATATATATATATATATATATATATGCAAAAAAAATTCCTGTGTTGTATATAAATGATTTTCGATAATCATTATTTTTCCAAAAAATAGGCACTGGGACTTTTGTACATAACACTATATAAATACATATGATATATATATATGTGTGTGTGTGTGTGTGTGTGTGTGTGTGTGTGTGTGTGTGTGTGTGTGTGTGTGTGTGTGTGTGAAAATATACGTACCGTCGCTGATTTCTCGAGAGTTTATTGACTGTGAAAAGTGAAAACATAATAAGAAAAAAAGGTCCAATGTCGATATTTATGATTTACACTTCTTTCTTGCTTCCATGATTGTGGCTACACAATCTTCGACGGATGATTTCGTTCACATAACAAATATAAGCAACATTAAATTATAATTATATTTATAAATATCTTATGACAGGTGTCCTGTGAATGTCTAAAAAAAAAAAAAGCGAAATAATTATTTTTACCATCAGAATTTTGCTTGTTAATGTAATTTGGGATAAAATTCTGAATAATACAAATTATTTGTAGATTACGTTTGAAATGTATGATTTTCTAATGTATTAAAATAATCTTTATTTTAATTTTCTGAAATTTAGTATTTTTAAAAAGATTATTAGAAAAATGTTTTTTTGAAGTCATTCTTTCTTTTTTATTTACCTATTTTCTATTTATTTCCTTCATGGTTTGATTGTTTCTTATAACTTATTTATTTGTGTAAAATAAAATCTTTAATTAGCTTCTAGCTATGTGAGTCGTTTCTATCTGCAGAGAAGAAATGTACGTCATGTTAGGATGAAACAGGATTAATTTAATCAAATGAAATAAAATGAATGCCTTTCAATCGAAAAGCGTATATAGGTAAAAAGCATATATATATAGATAGATATAGATATGTGATACCCAGTTAATCTCGGAGTAGAATATTTATTTTCCTAGAACACATTATGTAGTTTTAATTAAAACAAGCGTGTATCCAACAAGACGGGTTTGCAAAGAAAACTGTTGTTGTGTGTTTAAATACCTACCTACCTACGACATAGACGATGCTATGTAGAAGCTAAGTTATACGAAAGTACATTAATAATTCTGCAATCTAAAGATGAAAAGAGCATTTTTTGACACAAAAGATTTATTTATTTAAAAATAACCTCTTCCTTTGTCAATGCACTTAATTGAGTGGTGAATATTAATTATATCGATCGAACATTATACAGTGAAAATTTTAGATCAAAATTCAAAAACAAACTACGTATCAAGCTCCGAACTTATTGATTCAAAAAGTCTGTCCCAATCTGTGATTTCTATAATCAAAGCAATTTATTTCATCACTGTGATTTCTATAATCAAAGCATTTTATTTGAATGTAATATAGATTTTAGTAAAATCTTAGTTTAGTTAATCTTAAGCTTTATTTTATTTAATTATACTTACTTTAATATAATGTCTGAAGCCTTTTAAGCATTTGGCATATATTGCTTTTAATTCAATTTTTAATGTCGATATAAAACTTTAAATATATTAGTTTAATAAACCACCATTCACTTTTATTGACTTTGATGGCAGGAATCATAAAAAAAAAGTTATGAGAGAGAGAGGGAGAAAGAGAAAGAGACGAACATTGAGCAAAAATTCCTGAGTCCTGTTCCTCTGATGGGCATTAGATGTGAACAAAAAGCAAAAAAAAGCAATAAGTTCAATGCAACTAAAATGATACATTGAAATAAATGATTCTTTATTAAGAAATGATGATCTTGTATATTGACGTGATGAATACATTGTATTTTCATTGACATAGCTTACAATGTTCCGGGCACTTCACACATACAGGATTTCCAGAATGGGGCTGCAAGTTGGACAAGACAATTTTGATATAACTTTCTTCTTAACAGCAGCCCAAGTTAGATAAGATTATTTAAAAATGTATCCGCAAACATTGCAAGTAAAGAAATTCAAATGTTAGTCGGGCTAGCCTTCCAATAATAACCCAATTTGACACCCCGGAGGGGATTCTTAGAACTTTCTTGAAATCCATTATTTTGATTTCTGTGTTGGAACAATAAATGTCTCTTTTTGTGAATGCTATTTACAGAATAAATATTTATTTAAAAAGTTATTCTTCCTAAATTATTTATAAAATAGATGTTTCTATTATAGAGATTTTATACTTTATTGTTTCCGATTCATTTTTTAACATGGTAAAAACTGATTTGTAACTTTTATTTAATAGAAAGATATGAACAGACTAAATAGATAGATAGATAGATAGATAGATAGATAGATAGATAGATAGATAGATAGATAGATAGATAGATCCAGGAGCACAGATTGTTCTCATCCCATTATATTATAAATAAAGGGTCTGGTTCCCAGAAGATTTATCAACAACAATAAATGCCTGAAGATGGCCGAAGGGCACAAAGGTGGAAACGTTATAATGACAAAAGCCGAGAAGAGTGGGGGTGAACAGTAGTATTTCATTTTCTTTTTCCTTTTTGACGTTGATTTTATTTTTTAATACACCTTTTTATATATTTATTTTTTTGACAATGATTTTATTTTTTCTACCTATTTATATAATGTATTTCTTCTCTCTTTCTTTCTTTTCTCTCTCTTTTTCCTTCTTTCTCTCTCCCCTCTCTTTTTCTTTTTTATCTCTCTCTCTCTTTCTTTTCCTTTCTCGCTCTTTTTCTCTGTCCACTAGAAATAATTCACAATGCCCTTTTCCTTTTTTTTTGAGAGAGCAGCGGTGAATGTTTTAGCTGAGGTGAAAACTAGAACATTTAAAGCCCAAATGTCCGAAACACTTGAAAGTTAGGCGCAACACAATCTTCCTATCCTACTTCCGTTAAGTTGTTTTCTACCCAATCATAAAAAATTATCTATATAGAAACTTCCTGATATATATATATATATATATATATATATACGAATATTTATCTAACAAGTCGATTTCCATGATGGGAAGACAGGAAAACTATGCCTTCTCATTCTACTGGTTATGATGTTTAAACAGACATCAAAAGTAGTAGAGATATCAGATTCAACCACCAAAAGTAGATCACATAAAATGTGAATACTCAGTTTTTTTGGCACTGGAGCAAATGGGGAGTTGAAAAAGATCCATACAAAATCTTTGAAATAAACAGTGTCCGGTTTAAAATACACTCTTTTTTGTTAGCTGGGATCGGACATCGATTAATGTTGACGAAGAAGCGATACGCAGACATAAGACACAACGTCTGGTATAAATATTTTAAAATAGAGATCACCACACCACCCTACCTCACCTCCAAAAAGACAAGGACAAAAAGGATATAGAAAGAAATAGAAGAAAATCTGGAGAAAAGGTGAGAATTTATAAACTGACAGAGGAGTCAGATGGCAGAATGAAAGAGGGGGAATGAGTACGGAAGGGTTAGGGGTTAGAAAGGGAGGGTGACATTAAGAATGCTTGAAATCAATAACCTAATCTTGTTACACTTATCAAACATGGAGAACGGATAGAGAGAGTTTTCTGGACGAACAACTAAAGGACATTGCACCAAAGGTAGTGATGTCCGTTGAAGCAGCGGCAGCAGCAGCAGCAGGTGTGGTGGCTGCAGTGGCAAATGATAAGGCTGACCAAAAAAGATTATAATGACCATCATAATAACAATAGCCATGACTAATAGTCTCAGCAAAGAACATCAATTTTCTCAAGGAAACATAAATAGATACACAAAAGCAAATAATAAAGAAAATTTAATACCTGAACAAACAACAATAATAAAAAATAATAATAATAATAATAAAATGATGATGATGATGATTATGATGATGATGATGATGATGATGATGATGATGATGATGATGATGATGATAGCTGTTTCTGAATGGTAGTAAAGTAGTCAAATTGAACAACAGCAAATAAGGAGAAAGAAGCGAGGGGTCTTTTGTTTTGAAAAAGCAGGAATGAAGACGTTGATGTTACGTATAGAACAAAACGTTTTTATAAGTATGTGCTAAGAGGAAAGACAAGAAGTGAAAGAATGAGTGAAAAGAAATAAAAACTCGACCGGTGTTCAGTAAAGTGAAAATGAAAGTGAAAGTAAGGTAGATTAGAAATATTAACCAGACTATAACAACATATAGAAATGAATTAACTATTAGGGTAGCTGGAGTGGAAGAGCAAAGACAATCGAAGCGATGTTGTTGGAAAAATGAAAAGAGTCAGGATGAAATAACAGTAACAACAACAAAATGTATTGGTATGTCATAGAAAGACAAGAGATGAAGACTGGTAGCAATCGAGGTTGGTTGATGTGTTAAAAGGAAGGAAGGAAGCGGAAATGACACACGTGGAAATTGAAAGAGAATAAAGATAAGAAGATAAAGAAAGTAAATGGTAGACTATTAACAAGATAGAAAATCAAATGAGGTGACAGTGAATGAATGAAGGAACGATGTAAAAGGGAAGGAAAAAAATAAAACAATACAAATAATACATCTAATAAAAAAGAGAGAGTTGAACGAAGGAAAGAAAAAAGAAAGAAAGAAAGAAAGAATTAATATTAAACGAGAAAGAATTTTTGAATATGCAAACCGATTAAGAAAGAATTATTGAATATGAAAGAAAAATAGTGGAAATAGAAATATAGTAGGAAATAAATAATGAATGATTGAATGAGAAAGAAAGAAAGAAAGAAAGAAAGAAAGAAAGAAAAATAAAGGTGGTGAAAGAGAAATGACTAAATAAAAAGATTATATAAAACAAACGAAAGAAAGAAAGAAAAAAGGAAGGAAGGAAGGGAAGCGTAAAATAAAAATAAAAGGTACGAATGAATGAATGAATGAGTCGGAATTGTATTGTCCAGAAAATAAATTGGCCATCTTAGTTGTTGAGTCGTAACGACAATGAATCATGGAAGTAAAGCCCAAGTAAATGCTAATCAAACGAGACGGTGTTGGAGGTGAAGGTGGACGAGATGAGGGTCAAAGAAGAGGAAGTTCCGCCATAGTGCGGGGGCGGCGAATTTCAGGTAGTGTTGTGATACAGCTGCAAGACAGTGGGAAGAAAGATTCAATTCCGTAATCGGTAGACAGGAGCAAGTGCCGCTCGGGTAGAAAGAAAAAAAAACAGCATTGCACTTCGATGCATTGCAATGCACTAGGAAAAATGGCCGTTCAAATTGAATTCGACACTTGATTTATGGGTATTTACATATAGGTACGTGTGAGCATGTTTGTGTGTGTAAGGACGTCTCTGTGTGTGTGTGTGTGTGTGTGTGTGTGTGTGTGTGTGTGTGTGTGTGTGTGTGTGTGTGTGAGAGAGAGAAAAAGAGAAAGAGAGAGAGAGAAGTGGTCTGTGTGCGTGAGGGTGTCTGTAAATGCGTATGAACACTTAAATCTTCTATGAATGATAAACGTAAAATGATGTATTTGAATCTAGAGGAATCGTAGCGCCTTTCTGGCGAGAAAAAGATATGTGGCTATCAATCATCTCAAATCATCATATTTTTATATAATTCACTGACAGATTTTGTACAAGCTTTGGTGGGAAATAAAGTTATCACCATGTCCCTAAATTATTGTATTTATGCAGGGTGTCCCAAATAATTGAGAACAAAATATAATATAAAGAAAAACCAAGTTACTCCATAGAAAAAAATTGTGTTTTTTTCAGAAAGGCTCGTATACGTGTTCAACGAAAAGAAATTGAAAATGTTTATTCAATAAACTCGCCCTCGAATTGTAGGATGGATATGATATGAGCTCAGAAGTGATTATAATATTCAGAACAGGTGATTCTCGCTCATGTTGGCCTTCGTTATGACGAACTTCAGATGCCGATCGACAACCGTATATTGCCTCCCGTTATAGGTGAGATAATTGATCCCTAGACCTTGCTAGGAAAATTGAGGCGTTATGACACGGTCCTCATTGCTATTGATACCCAGGACCATCGGAGATGAGGTGAACTTGATGTGCCTCACGTGGTGCCATCTATTGTTCATCTGGCTGCTTTCAAGAAACTTGTTATCTCTCAGTCGTTGCAGTGAGTTCTCACAAAGACGAAAATGAATGTGCTTCCTCAAGAAACAATGCATGTGTTATTGAAAAATTAGGGATATTATATATATATAATGGGAATGCATTGCTAATTTTTATGATTTACAGTGGCACCGATTCAAGGTAGTTAATGACGATCCATGAAAACGGCTATTGCCCTCGATCGGGTTGATTTACGTTAATAAGTAATGGCTGGCCTCGTATTTTCATTATCTGATATATTGTTCAGATAATCTTGTTATTAAAAGAACATTTTAATGTATTCTTAAGCCTTTCTAGTATATATTTAAAGTGCAATATGTTTTAAATTTTTATATTATTTCCTAAATTTATGGAATTAAACCCCAAAGAAGACTGTTAATGGCAACAAAATACAACGCAACCCAACATCTAAATAAATGGAAAAATGATAAAATATCTACTTGTAAGAACCTCCAAGAAGTTGCAGTAAAAAAAACAAAAAAAAAAAAAAACAACAAAAAAATCAAATAACCCAGGCTGGGCTGCTTTTGAAAAAATATAAGGTATGCTGAAATTAACAATAGTAGCAATTCACACTAAAATGAAGATCTACCGTATATAGATTCTTACAGTTGCTTTATTTGGTTTAAATTTCAGTTCAAAGTGAAACATTCCAAAAAATATTAGACGTATATCATTATGGATCAGAAACTGATAGACAAATAGAAAATAACCACACTTGTAAATGAGACCATTTTGTCTATACTCTTCAATACGAGCAAATCTTTGAAACTATTTGTACATATTAAAAGATCTAGTGCATGGTTCGTTAATTTGTGTCTTGAAAAAAAAAATAGAAAACCAAAACAGAAGTGGGGGGAAAACATAATTCTCTGGCCACAAAATACCAATAAAAACTAATAAAAATAATTACAGGGCTGTTGTTGCATTTGTTGTTTTTAATATAAAGTTTCTGCCAATATATTCTTCGTGCAGCGGTATGTTGCATATTGTGCATATATTGCATATAGAGGTCATTAGAAATTGCGCAGCAGTTTTTTGTCTGTCTTTTTTTTTCAACTAGAACATGGCAGTCTAAAAAATCACGTGGAATGTTGTTGAGGTCCGGTGTTTGCAGCGAGAACAAGATCACAGCGAAATTTGAATTTGCCATTTGGTTGATCTTTGTTGTAGGAAAAGTGTTAACGTATTTGCACTACCAAAACCGGCCTTCTTCAGACAGATTTGTGTTGATCTCTGACACTCGACTACAACAAACAATTGAGATAGATAGATAGATAGATAGATAGATAGATAGATAGATAGATAGATAGATAGATAGATAGAAACTAAGATAGATAGATAGATAGATAGATAGATAGATAGATAGATAGATATAAACAAACTAAGATAGATAGATAGATAGATAGATAGATAGATAGATAGATAGATAGAAACAAACTAAGATAGATAGATAGATAGAAACAAACTAAGATAGATAGATAGATAGATAGATAGATAGATAGATAGATAGATAGATAGATAGAAACAGACTGAGATAGATAGAAACAGACTGAGATAGATAGATAGATAGATAGATAGATAGATAGATAGATAGATAGATAGAAACAGACTGAGATAGATAGATAGATAGATAAATAGATAGATAAAAAACAGACTGAGATAGATAGAAACAGACTGAGATAGATAGATAGATAGATAGATAGATAGATAGATAGATAGATAGATAGATAGATAGAAACAGACTGAGATAGATAGATAGATAGATAGATAGATAGATAGATAGATAGATAGATAGATAGATAGATAGAGAGTGGCTAAATTGCATAAATCATAACGGTGTAAAAAAAGAATGAAATGAAGACGAAATGAAGAGTTGAAATTAATATAGAAATTGGCATTCGTCACGCCCAAGAAGTGAAATCGGGATTTTCTTTCTCGTTCGAATACGAATTTTTAGCGAAGAACTGACAGTAGATATTTACATTTCGACAGTTGTACACTGGATCTGTAAAAACTGTCAACATCGCAGTTCGTGAAGAATTTACCCATTCGCTCATGGTGAATACAATGAGCACACAGTAGACAAGCTTTCTTTTACTGTAAAATTAGTCACATAGAGGAATTTCACGAAGGATTTCTGTTGTCACATACAAAAAAGTTTCCTCTTATTAATTAACAATTTATGTCAATATCGCACAAAGATTTTTCGATAATATTCAAATTATTATTCGAATTACTTTAGTAATTTCAAGCTAACAAACATACAAACAAAAACTGTCGTATATGTCAGCTAAAGCTAAGGAGTCAGTCGACCCAGTACTTTCTGAGCGACTGTTCGGTTGTACTCTCTTCCTACGGACGGGAGGAACCCGAAGGAGGCTACGCCGAAGGGCGGAGTCTCCTTCGGGGAGGGAGACCGGCCCTGAATGGGCATATTTTTGGCCGAGCCTAATGGCTCGGGAATGTCCACGTTAAAAAGGCCTTGTGCCACATGACAACCTCGTGGTGGGGTGACTGAATATCGTCAGCTAAAGCTAAGTTAAGAAGACTATAAACTAGTCAAACACTAGGGTGTAATGAGCTCATTCCTAACTGGTTGGCTCACATTTGTACAGATATGTTAGACTAAACTAAACCCCCAAATAACCTAACATCTGTCCTAAAACAATGGCAGAAATTTCATCTTTCAGATAATTCACTGGGTGTTCAATATTTGTAGCTTAGCTCCACTTTGTGCTTTGTGACTAACTTTTGGGGAACTATACTCCTAGAGTTTGTATTGAGTTTATCGCCACTCAGTACTCAATACTTGTGCCTTTGCAGCAGTCTATGGATAGAGTAAATGTCTAGAATTATTACTTAGGCATATCCCACATTAACCTTGTGCCGTATTAAGTTTTATTAATATGTGGACCAATAATTAACAAGATAGTCTAACAGAAAATTAATATTGCAGTGAGTTTGATCCTCACAAAGTGGCTAACACTTTTGATCGTTTGTTGTGTCAGCTAAGCGTAGTAAATTTGCTTCTCTCGCACTTGAGATGCGTACGACCCACAGATTTGAGATGTTAGTTTTCGAGGCAATTAAAAATCATAATTTGGAATGTTGATTTTAAAGCAATCATACAGCTCTTGAATTTTAGTGTCGCACAGTGCATCGAATGCACACTGCAACATAGTGCAGCGCAGTGTTCAGAACCCCTGCAATATGAATTTTATAAATATCAATGGAGACATCAATTTTCAGATATATGTCGTGTGCAAATAGATAGATACATGTCGTGTGCAAATAGATAGATACATGTCGGGTGCAAATAGATAGATACATGTCGGGTGCAAAAAAAATGGTATTTATTCAACCGATGTGTTTCAAGATATAAAAATGTGCCTTGTCACTTTCACTTTGTAACAAGTGTGTATTAGAAATATTGATATTTTAGGGCTGTCAGATTTTACTATGCCAGCACATTAAACACATTTATAAATAAATGCAAAATATTTCGGCTGTAGAAACATAATTCGCATTGACATAATATCCCATACAATTTATTTATTTAGCTATATTAGTTCAGTGTTAATCAAATATACATTTCTATGACATATATTTATATTGGATTTATTAATAGAAATTTATGTTGCGTTTTATATAATAAATTTTTTTTTAATAATCACAGATATAAGCGACATGTTGAAAATTTATTATTGGTTGATTAGTAACAATTTTATTGAGCAAACATAAACTTGCATAATAAAATGTGGCACAGTGTGACACAGGTGTGTGCAAAAGTTTCTAGATTGTCTTTTAGTTTTTAAAAATGGTTTCGGCAACATTCTCTCGTTTATAAAAAAAAAAAAGGTAAATCACTGGGAACATCTGCACACACCTAATCTATATCGGTGTGTGTGTGTGTATGTGTGTGTTACCTTTTTATCTCTTTATGATCAGAAATGTATTTACACTGCTTAGAATTATTATTTTCCTGCGTAAAACAGAAAAACACATGCATGCTTGTAAATATTTTTAATGAAACAGCAAAAACTCGTCTGAATAATTCGTACAATAATTTCTATCATTTTCACAGAATAATCAAAATACTGTTTTCGATTTTGTGTCAGATTATAAAGAATATATAAAGTTTGACAAGAGGACATTTTTTAAGAGCTGCTTAAAAAGGTCATCGTTTTGAGAGATTAGCATGATTATTTATGAACTCTAATAATAACAGATTTTAGTCAATATACATGAGTGAAGAGGGTGGAGAGAGATTATTTGAGAGAAATGCACCCAAAAACAAAACCCGAAAATATTAACAATCCAACAAATGTAAAAGAATTTCATTTCTACGCCGAAATTTGTAAAAAGGAGACCGACATATGTAATGTGCTGCTCACTTTGGCAATTTATACACATTTGAATTTCCGTACACAGAAAAACGAGTCGTTTCTTCGTAAGAAATTTACGCAGTTTCATTTCATCGATTTCTCCTTGTGTAAGCATTAATATATATATATATATATATATATATATATATATATATATATATATATATATATATATATATATACAGTATGTACACACACATATATGTATGTATATAACGTAACAATATACAATTCTACGTCCCTTTAAAATAAGCTTTCACTGCACGTGCACGTACACACACGCATGCATGTGTGGCAGTTGCATACATATATATTATGTGTGTGTGTGTGTGTGTGTATGTGTGTGAATGCATTTATATATGTATATGGGCGAGGAGGTGCTGAAAAAATATTCATCAAATCATTATAACCCTTCTCGTCTAATTTCGTTATTTGGTTGTTGGATCAAATTTTGTGAAGTAGCTTATATTTAAATTATGTATTAGACAAATCTCTTTCTCTCTTTTTCTCAGTTTTCCCCCTCTCTTTCTCCATCCCTTTCTCTCAATCTCCCCCTACCCGACACACACACACACACACCTACACACACACGCACGCGCGTGCGCACGCACGTGTATATTAAATAAGTAGTACACGTATCGAACTATACATTCCTTGTTTAGCAAGTGTTATAAAGACAAAATCATTGGAATCCGTTTCTTACTCGTTGAGGTGGGAGTAGAGGTGAAGCGAGCTTAGTTATTCTTTTCGAAAATGCACAGATCTGTCCGCGTGCATTGACATCGATGCAAAATACCTGTGCAGTTGAAACTTGTCAGGATTCATAGAAAGAAAAACGCACAATGGAATAAAGGAATAGAGGATTGAAAGAATAACGGAATCATTCAGAATGCTGCCTCATGAAGTTAGCGTAATGTGTAGAAAGAAATAGGAAGAAGAAGAAGAAAATAGATAATTAGTGACGGTGAGGCGTGGGGGGAGGTTACGAAAATAGAAGAAGTGGATTATGATGAAAGAAAAAAGGAGAGGAATAATAATAATTATAATAATGTTAACGATGAAATAATATAAGTGTATTGTCCTTACTTACTATAACTGATAGTGTTGATGACTTTGCTACTTTTTTTTTATCGCCGATGATGATGAGTGTAGTGTCTTTTGCTTTAATGATCAATTATAATGCTTGTTATTTCCTTAGTTCGCTATTAACGATGATGATAACATGAAAGAGATGTACTCACTGTTCTAGTATCGATTTTGATGATGATGTATTGTCCTTATTTTTATTTATTTTTTTTAATGACGATGATTACGAATATGTTGTTTTCCCTTTTCTAATATCAATGGTAATAATGAATGTGGTGGTTTGAATTACTATTAACGATGATGATGATGATGATGATGATGATGGTGGTGGTGGTTTTGGTGGTGGTGGTGGTGGTGGTGGTGGTGGTGGTGGTGGTGGTCATGGTGGTGGTGAAGGTGTCTTCACATTCCTATTTCCAGCAATGAATATGGTGTCCTTTTTCTAATATCGAAGATGATGAAGGTGTCTTACCTTTTGTATTATTGTTGTTAATGATGAATATAATGTCCTTAATTGTGTTTTTTTTTTTATCGAAGATGATGATTTCATATTCTTTTCTCAAATTTATTTATCGTATCGTATCCTCGCCGCCAAAAAAATATAGATCAGTTTTGTTTAAGTGGTATGGCGGCTCCCCACCATTTGTTGAATGAAAATGTAAGAAACAACGACAACGTTTTCTAAAGTTCAAATTCAGGCCGGGGCTGTTTAGGTTCACTTAACATTAGAAAAGGCAAAAGTCCACTTCACCCTGTGTGTAGTAAATGGAATAAATTGTATTTTATTTCATTTCAACTAATTTCTTCGTCTTTAGGGTTTAATTTTATCCTAAATTTTATGCCTTGTGTTTCTTGTGTTTACAAATAACTAACTTTATTCGAGGGTCTGGGTCATGAGTTTTGCAGCATTAAGCTTCAAATCCATTGTGTCAGCGAGCTACCGAAACAGTTCTGCCTTGAGCCACGCATTAAAACTGAAAAAAAGTGTAAAATAGAATCAAACAACACCTAGAAAGATCTTTCTTTGAACAGGAAAAAGGTAAAAAAAATATATTAAAAGCCGTTTAGATCTTAGAACGCTCTCTCTGTCTCCCTCTCTCCCTCTCTCTCTTTCTCTCTCTCTCTCTCTCTACCCTCTTCCGTTTTGCCTTTTATTTTCTTTGTACCACTGTCTCTCAGGTATATTTCTTGATCCGATTTATTCCACGCAATATTCATATTTCTATTTTCATTTCTTTGCTTCCTTTCACGAAAACAATCAAAGAAAGGAAATTGTAGAAAGCCTTGACCACCTACGTCTTGAAGAGAAAGATTACACGCACGCACGCCCCTACACACACACACACACACACACGCGTGCGCGTATATATATATATATATATATATATATATATATATATATATATATATATATATATATATATAATGCAGCAATAGAAGGCAACATTATCAGACAATTGATGGTCTAATTGCTTACCGTGAAACTGCCAGTCAACATACAGGATTGTTTTCTATGGACATACTGTTTATACCCGCAAAAGGTCTTTACCCGACATTCAACATTCTTCCATTATTTCTTTGCAAATTTTAAATAACATAACTGATTCTTATATCTACCCCTGTTTACATCTATAAATCTATATCTCCGATAATCATCCATGAATATAGCAACTTTTAAACACGTTGTATATACATATGTATGTGTCGAGAGGCGTTTTACTTGCTTTCATTATTCGTTATATCTCATTGTTTTTCAAAACCTTCTCTATGCAAAATGAATTTTTCTTTTTATCAGACTGAATCACAAGTTAAATTTATTGACCGACAAAAGCACCTACAAAAGAATGAACATTTGTAATTCGCATCACGTTTCCCTTCACTAATAAACAGGCGACACCGCCTTGATTTCGCCCTCGACCAGTCTAAGTCAAGCTTAGAGCATATTTTATTACAGCTATGTGGTAGGAAACCTCTTGTACAGTCTAGCGATTTTCCCTATTCACGTGACATTATGCCAGATTAGTGTTCAGTAAATAATAGAAAATTACACCGTAGAGCAATATTAGTGACTTAGCGTTATTTTCTTTGAGTGTGATTATCTGAGATTCCAATACTTGTAGTCTTGTAGCAAATTATGAAAATCTCGGTAAAAAGAAAAATTGTGACCATCAAACGAACGTCAATGATTTCCTAGATCGAGTATCAAATATGACAATCAAGTTTTGACATTTACAAACGACAAATAATTATTTTTCCAGGAATGATTTAAAAAAAAAATAAACACATATTTAAGAAGTAATTTTAGCTTAAATTATATACATAGGAAACATATGCAAAATCGTTGTAAAATAAAATCCTACCTGGAAAAAAATGCATTTGGGGACGGAACTTTTGTTCTGTTTTTATTTACACACACACACACACACACACACACACACACACACACACATATATATATATATTAAATAGCACCAGCAGACAACATATTACATCCGATGCTTGCATCTATCAAATATCATGCAAAAAATTGACCTAAAAATATGTGGGTGAAACAGGTAGGTCCTTAAAATCTCGTGTTTTCGAACATAAACGAGATATTCGTCTCGGTAATTTTAACAATGCTTTAGTTGTACACACAACTAAAGCAGATCATAATTTCGATTTCGATTCCGTGAAAGTATTAAAATATTTTCATAATAAAAAAATCTCAGGAGGATTTATGAAGCAGGTATAATATCCATCTCACGCACGGTGAATACTAGACCTGGTTTCTTTAATATTTCCCCTTTTTTAGCGAGATTGATGCTCGACAAGCATACACATAAGAATTTTAGAACCTAATAGAATTCTTTTCATTTT